AGGGAAAGAAATGTTTTACCATATTTTATAACTTATCATATCTTATCATTTTATGATAGTTTATTCTGGGCTTAGCAGCTTACAGGAATGTCTGGGGGGATGACAGCCTAATGCACATGGAGCTCAGTGTGTTGTTAAAACCTGTGTAAAAAGAAAAAGAAGAGCAAAGCTTTCACACTGGAGTTTCTGCTTCTGTCTTTTCTTAGAGACCTTTTGTAGGTGGCTTTAGAGATGTGATTTAAGTCATGGCCACCCCTCTATGTAAGGCCATCCCTGTTATCCTTTTACAGCTGGGTAAACTGAGGCACAGGGTGGGACTGCGGATGGACATAATGATGGCAGAGATGAAAAATATTCCCATGTTCCCCAGTTCTCTATTCATCTTGTGACCTAAAATGATTTTCTTCTGTTTTCTGCTAGTGAAAAAGGGATGCAGACCTGAGGCATGATTCCCAGTGCCACCTCCCCTTGCTTGAGGAAAACTACACTTTAAAATATTAAATTCATTTCACAGGAGAATATCCCAGAGGTCAGGAATAATCACTTGACTACTCCAGCCCTCCAATAAATGTGCTGCCAGAATTTTAACCAGGGATGAGTTTTTACAGCCAAGCTGTAAACCCTGTGAAAAAAATTCAAAAGAAGCCCCAAACCTTAGAAAACATGCAACCTGCAGAACATTTTGGGAAAGCTGATCCATCTTTGGCTGCAGAAGATTGTGTGTGATTTCCCTGGCCGTGCTTACACTCCTGCCTTGTGAAAACCACTCATCGTGGTTCTCTGAAGTCTCCCTTTTTAATAGCTGTGATTGACATTTATTTGGTGCTGATGCAAAACACAGAAAAAAATTCAAACCCTAAAAAAAAAAAAAAAAAAAGGTGTATTTTCCTGGGTAAATCCACTTGGGTTTTGGCCATCACGGATTTAAGGATTGCTCCCAGGTTTCTGTCAACACAATGTCTGTCTGCTCCACAAATTCAACTTCAGACACCCATAAGGGAACCTGCCCCAACACAGGGGTGAGTGGGATTTTACAGATTCCCAATCTCTTTTCATTTCTTCCCTCAAATTCCAGATCCTACCAGAAATATTGGGTCTGACCTTCTTATGCCACAGAGAAATGAGTTCTCTGCGAAAACAACTGTCACGGCTTGGACAAGGAGCTGCTTTACCCAGGGTGATTTTTCACCAACTCCTGAATCGTGTCAAGATACAAAATCGATCTGTCTGATGCTCTTTCCCCACTGTTACATTTTTTTTTACCTGGCATTACTGCAAACTTCACCCAATGCAGAAAAAGTACATTAATAAAAGCCCAAAAGCGTAGCTCGACTCTGTTGTTTGGTTTGTGCTAAACACAGAAAGGATCAATATTTAACATTGACATTAATGGTGGGGGATGAGAGCTTAAAACTCTGATTCCTGTCTTCTTTGCATGGGCATTAAAGATTCCCCAGTGCTTTTCATGGGAATAAATGGCTGTCTTGGTGTCCTTGGACAAAACAGTGCCTGAACCCTCATCCTTATTAAATATTTATCCTGTAGTGTTGCAGACTGATCCCCACTGGAAAAAGAGTCTTGAGAGCTCTGTGAGTCCCAAATCTTAGTCCCAAATCGAGTGCTTTGTAATCAACCAGCACGGTAGACCTCATACCCACATTGCTCTCAAAACCAGGGGACCTGCACCCAAAGTGCCTCTCTGGAGTGTTCCCCCAGTCTTGATAGTCTTTGGCTATAACACAGCCAAAAATTGCCCATGACATTGGGCTTTGGCCAAGATTCTTCCAAGGATGGTGTGAAGATGGCAGGTTGGTGTTGTGTCCTCATCCCAGCATGAAGAGACAACTGTGAGCTGAGCTGGGTTGGGGTGTCTCTGCTTTGAGCAGTCTTCCAACATGATCCCTGCAGGCTCTGCACTTGTCATTGCATGGAAGAGTCATGGCAGGCCAAAATACAGCCAGGAGTTAGGAATTGCCCCAACTTATTTATGTCAACACAGCCTAAGGGAAGAGACAGGGCTGCAGGGAGGAGGCAGTTCCTAGCAGCAAGTTGAAATCAGAACACTTGGAGGAGCCCAGTGAATTCTGCACTGCCCAGCAGAGCCTCACAGAGTCACAGGGTTATAGAATGGTTTATGTCAGAAAGGACCTTAAAGATCACCTGGTTCCAGCCCCCCTTCATGGGCATGGACACCTCTCACTAGACCAGGTTGCTCCAAGACCCATTTAACCTGTCTGTCAACCCTTCCAAGGACAGGGCAGTCACAGATTCTCTGGGCAAACTGGTCTCACCACACTCACAGGAAAGAATTTCTTCCCAGTCTCTCATCTAAATCTCCCCTCTTTCCATTTAAAACCATTACCTCTTGTCTTATCACTCCATGCCCTCAACAAAAGCCCCTCCCCAGCTTTCCTGCAGCCCCTTCAGGCACTGGAAGGTGCTCTGAGGTCTCCTTGGAGCCTTCTCCAGGCTGAACAACCCCAACTCTCCCAGCCTGTTTCCCAAAAATCAGTCTGATTTGGGGAAAACGGAGAGCACAGAAAAAGACACGCTCGCTGAGAGCAGGATGAATTAATTACTCTGATTACCCCAACCATGAAAAGAAACTAGGGAAAAAAAAAGGCAGCAAGGCCTGGTAGAAGCCCATCACTTCCCTGGGGGAAGCCTTTCTATCAATGTCTACATTGATTTTCAGAATGAATTCCCAGCTCTCTTCCCACAGCGACCCGGCCACCAAGAGCATTAGTGGGAGGGAATTCAGGACTCACGTAGTCCATTAGGTCTGTGAGATGAACTCTGTAACAGCAGGTGAGAGATGGACTGTTTCGTGGGCCTGGGAGGGTATTGCAAGGGCTGGGAAGATGAATCATGTTGCTGCAGAAGGGGACTGCCAGGATCGCTGCATTTTTTATGTGTGTTTTGGTTTTGTACAGTTTTTGTTGGTTTTTTTTCACTAGAAGAAAGGGCAGTTTGTGTGCCCATGTCACGTGCTGATGATGGGTCAGCCTGGGGGGCAGAAAAGGAGGCAAAAAAGGAAAAGGAGGCAGAAAAATAGTATTTAATGACTAGTACATGCAAAAGGGAAAAGTCAAGACATTTGTCACAGAATCACCAAATCAGAGAATCACCAAGGCTGGACAAGACCTTTCACAGAATCACAGAATCCTAGGGGTTGGAAGGGACCTGGAAAGCTCCCCCAGCCCAACCCCCCTGCCAGAGCAGGGGCACCCAGAGCACATCACACAGGAACGTGTCCAGGGGGGTTTGAATGTCTCCAGAGAAGGAGACTCCACAGCCTCTCTGGGCAGCCTGGCCCAGGGCTCTGTCACTCTCACAGGAAAGAAGTTTTTTCTGATGTTTATGTGGAAATTTCTATGTTCCAATTGGTACCCATTGCCCCTAGTCCTATCACTGGACATCACTGCAAAAAGCCTGGCTTTAAGATCGTCAAGCCCAGCCTACGACCCAACACCACCACATCAGCCAGACCAGGGCACCAAGTGCCACATCCAGCCTTTCCTTGAACACCTCCAGGGACAGTGCCTCCACCACTTCCCTGGATAGTCCATTCCAATATTTAATCACCCTCTCCATGAGGAAATGCTCTCATATTGGCCTGAAATGGAGAGAGGTTGTCATCATGGTAAGACATACAGTATGAATTATGAGCCAGACATCCCAAAGTCAGTTCAATTCACCAGGGCACAGTGCCTGGCTCCCAAGCAGTGAGGACCACAGCTCCTTTCATATCTCCACACGGAGCACTTAGTGAACAAACTCTAGAGGATCCCATCCAGATGCCTCCAGGCATTGTCCCCACTTGCATCATGTCCAAAGATGCTCAACTCAATCCAGCCATGAGTTCTCCATCCCTTGTGACCATGTATATCAAGGCCATGGATAAACCCATGGCCCTCCTTTATTTAACAGTGTAGATGTAGCCTCCAAATCTCTTGGCTTTATGTCGAGATCTTGAGTTTATATTTAGGGAATGTAACAAATACAGCCAAGGAGGGATAAAATCCTGTTCCAGTTCCTATTGGCATTCCTAAGGGAACAGAATTAGGGTTATGTAGTGGGGCCATGTGGGAAGTGTCATCTTAACCCCATGTTTCCTGGCTGGTTCTCCTCCGAGTTCAGGGAATTGGACTCTCACGGTCTGGAAAAGGCAGAGTTGGACACCCTTAACTTAAAATTTGATGTCAGCAGCACGACTTGCATGCAAGCATCTCATCGAGCTCGTGCTACAGCTGTTGCTCTGGTCTCTGTGAGGAAGTGAGCCAGAGGCTCTGTGCAGATGAGCCAGCACACACTGCCAAACCCCAGGGTGCCAGGCAGGCTTGGGGCACCCACTACTCCAGGTTAAGATGTGCCTTTTTGGCCACGTGTTGCAGCAAAGGGAGAAAAAAACCCACCTCCTTGCAACTCCATCCCCAGAGCAAAAATGTGCAACTCTGAGCACAACCGGCAATGGGATGGACTAGGCTGGGAGCCAGGAATTTTTTATGAATGTTTTCAATCCCCCCAAGCAGTATTTCCCTCCTTGCTGACAGCTCTGAATTCCCTTGCTCAGACTGCTCGATGACTGCTGTGTGCACAGCTTCTCACAATGTTCTTGGGCTTATCTGAGAGAAATAGTTACTCAGGCTCCTTCAGAAATGATTGCTCAGAAGGGCCTTTTTCACCAGAGCCACAGTGTCAGCTCACCCTGCCTGAAA